AATGTGCCGCATTCGACAAAATCGGTGCCGCATACAGTATTTGGCTTCTAACCACATTAGCTAAGAGTAGACGTCTACGCTGTTTCGGTCCCCGCGTGTTAAGCATTATTTGCGATAGTCCCGTGGTCGTTGAGGCTGCTTTCTCTCTCACAAAGCTAAGGTGGGCGCTGAATGTATGACGCTTGTCTAGTATCACTCCCAAGTATTTAATTGATGGTTTTGTCGGGATGATGTGATCGTCAATTAACGTTGTTTATTATTTGAAACTAAACATTTTCTCAAACATTGGTTATCAACTCAGGAATGGTTTGAGAAACATTTTGGGACATTTTTTTAGCATTTCGTTCCATTCCATCTGTGTCAACATCGCACTGATGTCGAAGTCTTCGGTAGTCTGGTACATCAGTCGCAAAATGGCTCCTCGACCACGCGGTCACTGTCATTCGCATTTTATGTTTCGGTAAATGGTTCCCCATTCGAGTAAATTCAAATGCATTTAATTTAATGATTTGAATGAAATTTGTTTGATAGTATAATTCTGTGACTGACTGTTGTTGTTGTAGTGGCACTACCAAGCCCCACCTACTTCGATTTATCCATCAATCATTGTCGTCAAGCTCAACCACGGTAGGCCCATAAAAAGGGCAGTTTGAATAGGGTCGGACCAAAGGGAGAGGAGTGTTAGTTGAGTGGGATTGAGCTGGCATATTAAGAGGTGGTTGGTGTCGTGCGGGGAGTCTGACACAGGTGGTGATTGGGCTCCGATCACGGCATTCGTAGGCCAGGCGTCATGGTAGGTGGTGGCAGTTGATCGCTCGTCGGTACGTCGTCGGGCGACATCAGAAGGCACCCTGTCGTTGTCCGGAGTGCTTCTTTCTGAAAAGTCTGTAGCTTCGTCCACTGCGTCCAACTATGTAGTCCCCGGCGACAAAAATAGGCGCAGCCTGCTTTAGAACCCGAAGGTCAATTGCCTTATATGTTACCAGTAACGTTTCTTTGTTTCGTAATTATGCTTTCAATTTTGGTTTTATTGCTCAACGAGAAATGAAATAAAGCAAATTTGCGTTATTTCACATTAAATTGGGAAATAACACAAATTTGCGTTACTGCCGATTGTGTTATTTCAACCCCCCATCTAAATCATATATTATGTAGCATAAGCTATGAGGTTTCCTCCTCCAGCCCACATAACCTTCACAAAGTCTCAGTTCTTATGCCTACCGACTAGGGTAAAGCAGTCGTTCAGAGACTCTACGAGAGGGAATTATAAATGCCTTGGATTGCCTTTTATACTTTGACATACGCCAGTGAGCTGCAACCTGAGAATCCTCCCATCTTTTTAAGAGTTCTGCTTGTATCTTTTGGTTTGAACGGAGAAAGGCTGAGAGCCATACAAGCTCCGTTGGGTTCCCCATTGCGGGAAAGTATCAGTCCTTTCGTTGCCAGCTAAGCACTTCTGACCTGGAACTCACCGTAAGGGAATCTTGTTTGGGGTTCCCAGTTTGTCCAATACATTTTGGCAACCGTCCACCAGCCTTGGGCTAGTTTTACTTAAGTCTAAGGCTCTGCCTAGCTGGGTCCAATATATTAAGTCCTGTAGAACAGATTTGATCCTTCTAATGACACAGGGCTATCCAAGCAAATCTGCTTGAATAAAAGGCAGTCAGGGATGCTTAATCTGAGATTTGTCGAGGTAGGATTATCTACATATTGCAAATATTTACTGACTAGGTAAGTGGCCGTTTAAGCCGATGTGTGAGAGCTCGCATTAACTAAGTGAGAAATAATTCTCATCTTTCTTCTACCTCAATACACATAAGGATCCCGCACAAAGTTTAGGATAATTTCGAATATCCACAACATAGTGTCTATTTAATTATAGTACTTTTGGCAATTAAATACAACACTTTACCAAGAAATTATCCCTGATATTCAAATACTGACTCGTGACTTTGGATTTTTTCCTTAATAGCGTTCAATTTTCATTACTCCTTAATCTTGTTTCACAAGTGGCTTTTCAAGTCAAGAATCTGTCAAATGTCAGTTTGACAGAAACCATCAAATGGTACTTAGGAAATCCGATACTTTTCGGTAGCGTGCATGTGCGAAAGAACACGAGGGTGTGAGAAGGGTGTGCACACAGATTCATTAGTGCACATTTTTCATGCTCATTACGAATGAGAAAATAAAATCACTTCGACGCAGCCAATTAATGGAATTGAAGGCTTTTCATGCGACAACAACAACAACAACAACGACACAACTACAAATCTCACAACATCATTCCCCAAACAAATTCCAAACAAATTAATTCAGCTAATTCACAAAAATACTGA